CCGGTCGAAGAAGACGGGAGGGAGGTCGGCCTCCTCTATGGTGAACTTCTTCACTTCGGTCGGGGCGATGATAGGTTGTGTGAGTGGTTGCGCATCTTCCTCCTGTACCATAGTCTCGACATCGTCTCCGTATACTTGTTGCGCGGTCGGGTAATACTGCTTGTCCTCGTGCAATATCACGGCATTCGAGGGTCCCTCATCATCCACCTCCATCAACTCCTGCCCCGTCACCTCGGGGGCCGCCTCGGACTGGTTGTCATCGTAGACATATGCGCCGGCATCCACGCCATGCTCGGACTCTTCCTCAGATGCATCGGCCTCCTCGCCAATGAAATTGCCAAACCTGTGCAAAGAGTCGCGTTAGCAGAATACACAGAACGCGAGATATGGGATAACTTACTCATCATAGAGGTCATCCATGGCTCTTTGTGTCGTGGGTATCGGGGTAATGTGCTTTGATAACGAACATGCCACATTCGATTCGCGCGACAAGCTCTCGAAAAAAGTAACGAAGCTGCGACAAGGCTGCCGTCGGAGCTGTGGCTCAAGTGGCGGTATCTTTCAAGTCAGTTCTCGGTACGCAAGGCTGGCCAATGGACTTTGACTTGCGAGGAGCGGGTCCAAATCGTCCGATAAATTGGTGTGGCGCTGACTTCCCGCCCTGCCTGCCAGTCTCTCTCACGCCGCCAATGACCCCACGTTAGCTCGTGCGCCATAGCGCCTTCTAGGTATTAGTCGGAGCTCCTCTGCAAGGGGCGGTGAGGGGCACACGGATTTAGTGGAAAAGGGGACTTCGCGTGGCTCAACATTCTTTGAGATCAATAGACGCAATTTTCCACCTGCCTTATGCTATATCGCACTCAGATATCCTGTTTTTGATTCAGATTCAGATATAGATTCAGCCGCCACCATGTCTGGACTTCCTCCCGTCTACATCGTCTCCGCCGCCCGGACACCAGTGGGCTCCTTTCTTGGGTAAGCATAGCACTGGGCTCGACGCTGATGTCTGCTCGAGCTGAGCTGACATGGGGTACAAAAGGTCGCTTTCCAGTCTCAGCGCCACTCAATTGGGTTCAATTGCTATTAAGGGTATGTCGAAGCCAATGCAGTCTGGTGCTCCAGCAACATGAGTACTCACGGTCACTCACAGCCGCTGTCGAACGAGTACCCGAGATCAAGCCCGAAGATGTCGAGGAAGTCTTCTTTGGAAATGTTCTCTCCGCTAAGTAGGTTATGACTGATGTTCCCGCTATGGCGTCTCCTGGCTTACGACGAACCCCTTCAGTCTCGGACAGGCCCCGGCCCGTCAATCCGCAATTGGCGCAGGCCTCAAGAACACCGTCGTCTGCACAACCGTCAACAAAGTCTGCGCTTCAGCCTTGAAGGCCATCATCCTCGGTGCGCAGACCATCATAACCGGAAACGCCTCCGTTGTTGTCGTTGGCGGTACCGAATCTATGTCGAACGCGCCGCACTACCTTCCCAGCCTGCGCAACGGCGCGAAATACGGCGATCAGACCATCGTCGATGGTGTGTTGAAGGATGGGTTGACGGATCCCTACAGGAAGGAACATATGGGGCTGGCTGCTGAGCTGTGCTCGGATGAGCACAGTATCGACCGTGCGGCCCAGGATGCTTACGCCATCGAGACGTACACTCGTGCCCAGAAGGCGACTGAGGCCGGCATCTTTAATACTGAGATCGTCCCGGTCGAGGTCAGCGGTGGCCGTGGCAAGCCAACCAACAAGATCACAACTGACGAGGAGGCCAAGAATCTGAACGCCGAGAAACTGAAGACGGTGCGCCCGGTCTTCAAGCCCAAAGATGGGTCCGTCACAGCAGCTAACGCCGCGCCTCTGAACGATGGTGCCGCTGCTCTCGTGCTCATGTCCGAAGCCAAGGTCAAGGAGCTTGGCGTCAAACCGATTGCTAAGATCCTGGGTTGGGGTGACGCCGCACGTGAGCCTGAACGTTTCACGACCGCACCAGCTCTTGCCATTCCCAAGGCTATCAAGCATGCCGGCATCACGGAGAAGGAGGTGGATTTCTACGAGATCAACGAGGCCTTCTCAGTTGTCGCTTTGGCCAATATGAAGCTACTAAACCTGTCCTCCGACGTTGTAAACGTTTTCGGTGGATCCGTGGCCATTGGTCACCCGCTCGGATGCTCGGGGGCTCGTATCGTAACGACTCTGACAACAGTGCTGCGCGAGAAGAAGGCCAAGATTGGATGCGCAGGTATCTGCAATGGTGGCGGTGGTGCTTCTGCGATCATCATTGAGAGTTTGCAATAGTTGCATGGTTATGGCTCGAACTAAGCGTCGAGGACACGAAAAGTATGAGACCCCATCGGAGCACTGTTGGTGTAGATATCCAAAGGGCTACGAGTCGAGCTTGAGGAGTGGTTGTCGACAGAGATGGCATACAACAACACGTACAAGCTGTCCAAGGCCCCATAAAATAATAAATACCTAATAATTAACCATAGATTCACGGTTCACAGGGAACGCCATCCATTGCCAGCTATGTATATTTCTTACATGACATCGCGGTCAGACCTACGAGTAGGTGGCTTGTGCTGCCATTGTTTTTTACCCAGGGTTTGATATACACGGTAGGTTAAGAATATATCAAGCTTACTGTAGCATGATGCCGTCCCTGGAACACGGGGATCTTAACTACGGCATGTCATACCATAGCTTAAGGGTAAGAAATAATTAATTTAGGGTGATGATTCCCGTTTCTAGTATACATGTGGCTATCAACGTAGACCACCGGCTATTTGTGGTTTGCCCATGTATACTCTCTCTCTTTGTCCCCTTATTCGAGTTCCCGCATATAGATTGCGAACGGGAGAAAGCAAGCTGCAGTTCCGTTCACCAAGTTGGTTCTGAGGGATTATCCAAGGCAAAAAACGACTTTAAGAAATTAGTGCAATGGCCTGCGACACTCGGAAGCTTTACGCACGTGGGTCATGGGCCCATCCCCGACACATATATTGTCCCCGACCATTTCATACTGGGAGGACTGGGGTTAACGATTGCTTCTCACAAGACAACGTTGAAAAAACTCAATATGGTCCAAGGGGGAAAACGGGAGACTAATTCTCGACCTCACCGATTTCGAGTGCCTCGAAGAACTGGGCCCCGTCGTACTGGGCCTCAGGGGGCAACGAGAATTCCTAGTATGCACACAAGGCTCTGACCTCTCATCTCCAGCTCTTTCGCTGGACTTCGGGGGGCTTTCGGGGTAGCTTTAAAGGTCCAATCCAATTATCTGGGACGTGTCCCACGGACGGCATTGGCTGCTTACGTTCGCCCGAGCTGCTGTCGAATCCAAGTCACCGCTGCCCTTAATCAAAATTGACCATGAGCCTTAATGGTCTGGGGCTGACGGGAGAGTCAGCGAGCTTTCGGCCTCTGACTACTCATGAGACCTTATGGAAGAGATTGCTAAAGAGATCGCCCCAGGGCATTGAGTTGTAGTACGGCGGGCCGTTAACCATGGAAAAGGAATTGAACAGGAAGCTTGGTGTATACGGGAGTTATAATAATTCAAGAGGTGGATTGGCTGTACACTCTCGGATAGACTACAGGATTTGTCCAGACGTAAAGCGCATTGCTCTGTTTCATCTACTACTCAATGTGAGTCCACCTACAGTATGATAGTGAGAGATTTACGCAATCAGGAAGTATATTAAGAATCCCACGTTACGGGTAAGCTCTTCAGAACGATCGTTTTGAGTACATCTAGAGAGTAATTAGCACGAGGCATACCATTGTGCATCGAACCATGCTATCTGTATTGCCTAAATAGATATTTGGCTCGTATATTCCTCCTCGATTCCTTTAGGCTCGACATAGGAGCGCTAAAGAATCACCCGGAAAACATGTAGGCTATAGCAGGGATATCTTAGTAATATTTCAGAGATACTAGGGTGCCTGAAATGTCCTACGAGCCTCGCTCAGCCTTTTGAGGTCTGAAAATTTGCTTGATAGTGATATTAAAGTGCCGGGATAACATCAAGTTGACTCCAAAGAGATACTTCACATATAGCGGACAAATCCTCACTTCAAACATACAATATCCCACTAGGACACAATAGAGAAACTGCAATAGAGTAAAAGTCCACTTTATTTAGGTTAAACAAATGAACCACGAGCGTAAAGATTCTCCAAAACCGAGTTGCAGCGTTATCCCAACTCTGGAAGTAAGCTCCTGTCAATGAGACACCCATTGCGATAGTCTGGGATGATAATGATTTCACAATAACCCGTCTTAAACATGGAATAATGTCTGTTACTGAATCGAGCCGAGGATATGTCTTGCCTACAAGGGATGTAGGGCTGCGACTTAACGACAGAAGAACCGTAGTTCGCAATAGTCTCTAGATTATGCAAGTATGCTACAGCTCTAATCCAAAAGCTGGCGTCTTGAATACCTTGATACGTTACAGCTTTATATGTTTTGAGATGAAAACACTGGAACACGAACTGCTGCTAACTTGGCGAATGGAATCTTAGATGGAGGACCAGTCTCACAACAGAGGCGTTGGAAAATGCCTCGAGGCTGCGTTTGACGTCTCCTACCACTAAGTGAGAGCGAAGAATAAGATAACCCGGCAGAACTTCAATGAAGCACAGCCGAAGATCTTCTTGCATGATCGTCGTCCCGCGGAGTATGCCAGAGAAATAAGAAGCGGCCTTGCAATCTGAGGACTGTAATAGAGCATACTTAAGTAGCTACTAGCTAAGGGTGTTTTACGCAGATTTCTCGCAAGCAAAACGATTTCACCAGTATGGTTAGTCAGGGCCGCCATTGATCGTTGTGTCATGAGATTGTGTCACTGAGACTTGGACATTGTCTTGTTCATCAGGGGTCGCGATGGCTGTCGCACGGACCCCGGAAGCTCCCAGATCCCCATAATTTGACACCGTGGTGTTAGGATACGTATTTCCGAGATTCTGCATCATTAGCGAGTCAGCATCCTCGGAGACAAATCTCGATTAGTATAGTGGTCAGTATGCCAGCTTGTCATCCCTTGGAAGAAAACGCTGGAGACCGGGGTTCAATTCCCCGATCGAGAGATTTATATTTTTTCTGGATGGTTTTTTTTTAAATAATTTCTCAATGATGGGGCTTCTCAATTTTAGCTTGGCTACCTACATTACAAGATTATTTCCTGAGATTTCTTTTCCCGCTTTCCCCCCTTTCTTGATGTAGATAAACGTTGTACTCTCAATCTTCTTAGCAGCCCTGCTTCAATTAGATCTACTAGAGATATCTGAGTATTCAACCCTAGCGGGCAACCCCAGCGGAGCTCTTTACAGTGGAATTAATCCATATCTTGGGTCAATAGCACGAATCAGAGTTTCACTCTTGGTCTCCTTCTCAGAATAAACGTCGCGCTGGGGATGATACTACATGATGCTGGTAGTCGGTCGCCCCATGATGTGTCAACGGAATACAGAAGTCAGCAAGAATTCAAATGCCCCTGGTTCTTTTCTCGTGTGGTACTGTGGGGACGCGCAGCACGGTATCCATTCGGAAACAGGAATCTGTTAGGGAAACCTTTAATAGTTCAACCAGCAGTCTACGAACTTCCATTAGCACCGTTTGCGGACTTCTACAGAACCATTTATGAAACTTCTCACATTGATTCTGGCGATCCTGTAGTCCATGGCTTTCCTGACAGCATTACGACACCTTCCCGCTGCGCAGGCAAGGCGATTGGAACAGGTAGCGGCGACTGTGTGGGCAGTAGAACTGGTCGTCTTCTAAGACAGAGGATCTTGAACTGAGTCAAACTCCAGTATCAAGGACAGATATGGTTGAACCAATCCGGACGTTCTGCTAGACGTCATCCAATGCCTCTCCATGTCTTCCGGGCAGAGCTGCCGCGACGGCGGAATAGACTCCGCGAACCATGTTTGGTTATACTGGTCTGCAAGCTATCAATACAGAAGTTTCAAAGATCCGGTAGAAGACCAGATACACTTTACCACCAGTCTGAATTGGTTTATGCGGCAGTTCTACCAAGTAATCGTATTCGTTCCCGATATCCCCATCGTTGCCATGGATGATGATCACTGCGCCGCCATGGAAAATGGATCGCTACAGCGTTTCCCCTTGTGCTATTCCACGAATTTCGCCTCCGTCTCAAGAGCCAGTTCGTTATGTGTTCTGTGCTTTTACTGGTTACCGACTTACTGGGCCGTCTTTCTGCAGCTCCTGCAGGGATTATTTTCCATGCATAACTCAAGGAGTTGTTGCATCCCAAGGCGTACATCGCAAATATCTGCGTAAACAATTAGTACATCGGCATAAGCGAATTGGCCACCTAGTAGTGGCATTTTTCTATCTAGCGGATGACGCATGCGCGACTTATGAAATCTCTAGGATTCGGTAAGAATACGCATGATTTCGTTGCTATGTATGTTCATTACAAGAGAATCCAAGTATCACTTCGGTGACAGGTAATTGGACTAGCTTTAATCAAGTAGCAACTTGTGATCTTCCCGACTGCAAGAATACAGCATACTTCAAAGTGTTGCCGGACTCAATGACTCGATTGATATAATTCATACGATAACGCCCTAGATCACTTTTAATTATTTATTGCTATATCGTAGAGTTTAGCAGATGGCGCTCAAATGATGTGTGTCTTGCATACGACTAGATACGTTTTAGTATTCGAAGTTTATTTAAGCTACCTTGAAGCGAGCGTTATTGAAGTAAGAACCGCTATGTCTTAGTACATAACAGTTCGGCCACCCGGCTATACAGAACACGTTTCTAATGGATCAGAGACGAGAGCCCACTAGAAGCTGGGTCCTTATAATGACAATCTAGCATGTGGGTTGAGCTATATCTGCCTAGTCGGGGTTGACTGGACACCCACAACTGGTTCCGAGTTCCCGGTGAACCGACACCTCTAGACACGATCTTAGCGGGTTCCGCTCATGGAATATGATGGTGCGATTGAAGACGAGATGAGTCCTGCACGACTATGGAGGACTCACCCGGGTCACTGAGATAGTTTGAAATGGGGCTTGCTTGCTCCCGTATGGATCACGATTGCCCCTAATTCCATCGGCGCGACCAACATACCACTAGTCTACTCTGGCGTCGTTGACTTCGTTCTCACACTCATGTCCTGGAAAGTAAGCCTGCATCTCCAGATGAGGAAATCTGAACATACTGGAGTGGCTTTGGCTATGAGCCTTGGCGTAGTGTATGTGTTACAGTACACGAAGCCATGGACATGGTTACTTATTACACAGTAGGGCTGGTATGACGGGTAACATGGAAGCTGTTTAGACTATTTACACCCTCGATGCGACAAGTTCCGATTGCCAGAACAAGTCCAGTCTGGCTGGCTCTTCCAGCTATGAACTACTACGCCACCAGTCCTTTACAGTCTCGTTTGTCTTTTGGATCTTCTTCCTGGTCGAGCCTAATGCAACGATCATCACAGCTTCCATCCCCAGCATCCCCGCCAAAATGAGACGTCCGGATAAAAATTTATGGCGCATCGTCACCTCCAGCAGCTGGTGCCTACATCAAGTTTACGAACAGCAACTTGCATACTCCGCAAAAAGCACCGTTACAGATTACCAGCCTAATTATCCATGGATGCTGGTAGCGACACAAACATCCTGTTCAAATAGGGCCCTACATGTATGAGGTAAGTCACTTGGGGGTGATGCCGAAGAGAACGGCTGAGATGGAGACTCATTCATGAGGATGGATACCACCTGCCGTTTAGAGTCGGTAGTATAACCGGACTCATCCATGCAATCACGATATCGTGAGAAGCTAAATTACACGCTGGCACTCATCGTTTGTTTTGGAGTAACATTACATCTAATAACGGAGTAAGACAGGATAGATCCTATGAGCTGCGTCGCTGAGAGGGATGGGTAATATGGTGCAGAGGTTCCTTGAGCTGCTACTTGCCGATTTTGTTGCTTGCTATACGGAAGGCGATGAACTCATGAGTTGCCCTAGCAAGTCACATTCTCGGATGGAGCACCTAAGCGAGTGCATCATCTTCTACAACGCTCATATGTGAGATCTAGCTAAAGCCCCTAGCTGTCACATTGGCGGCAATCTTGCACCCTAGGGGCTTCACTTAAATAGTTAACGGGCGCTGACCTTCCGTTAGGCGTCAAATCTCTCTGTTGATACTGTAGCTAAAGGGACACATCATCGTCCCGAGGTCGCACAGACGGCAAGTATACTCCATAGATACTGGCACGTACAAGAGAGAAGTGTCGACTGAGAGTCGTAGGTGTCGTGCAGACTTCTTATTGAAGCAAGATATATATAGCGCTGGTGCTCGGTTGCGATGTATTAGACGACAGTTGCAATTGCGGCGAGTTGCCAGACAGACCGGCGGACAGTTCCATCAGAAAAGGGGTAACTGCCAGCTGATGCCAGATGGTAAAGGGCGGACCACGGAGGGCGCCGGGCGCCACGGCCGGCATATATTTATGGTCCCGGGCAAACTCCAGGTTCTCAACCAACTCTCTTAACCACCATGTGCAACCGGCAATCCATACTCTCCACCTCCATCACGACGATAACTGCAGTACAAGCTTGATATGCGCTGCCCCAAATCGCTACGATCTCAGAGGTTGTTGCACAGACCAAGGTATTCTTAGCCTGTTTTCATCCTGGTCATAGCGCTTGACGATACTCAAATCGTCGTCTGAAACGCAACCTGGCGGTGGAATCGGCTGACGATGACGAATTCCCAAACCATCATGGGTCCGTAAGATCGAATCCCATCTTCTCATCTTCGTTTTGCCGATGGACTAGGAGCATCGCCTGTCACCAATCCTCTTACCAAACCGAACAATGTTCATGAGCTCCGACGTTAAAACTGCCAAGACACTTTCAAGTGAGAAGAGCTTCGCAAGTGCAGGACAGAATTGTTAGATTCAACCTGATTGATGACCCCTGGTAATAACATCTTCTTATTAACTAGGTACTTAGCATCTTCTTCGGCAGCCCTCAGCCCTTTAATTGTATCTTTTTATAGACTTCATCGCAATTTGAAGGCTCGATTAAATCACTAGGACATCGTCAATGCGGTCAGTCAAATTTTCGGTGTTCCTGAACAAGCTTCGTCATGTCTCGCTGGACCCCAACTTCAAACGCTCCCGGTCAGGGGCACGTCTCAAAACCCCTCCATCACTGGCTTTGACCCCTGTTCCCACAAGGCGACTCCAGCCAAGTTTCTCAGCCTCGGTCGCAACTTTGTCTGAGCCGCAAGGTCCCTACGCGGGGAGGCATCTGATACCCCTGATGATCATGGTTGTCTCATTGGCCTGGGCCTGAACAAGGTCGTTGAACCGCATCAGTCTACATCAAGTCCCGCAATAGCGCAACCCGTTGCGATGTCCCACCCCGGTCGAAACGATCTCCAAACTGATCAGGACATTGTACTCTTGTACGAAATCCTCACTTCTTCCCATTGCCATACGTGTCTCTCCCGCTATTGTATCGTAGCTTTTCCGTTCGATGTTTCTTCTTCTCTTTTGAAGCTATTCGTTCGTTCCATCGGCATCTTCTCGTTCCTTGATACCCCTGCAAGTCTCGACGTGGATACTTCCGACTCACGTTCGCCGTTTCTTTCGATCACTCGTAGTAGTGTTGCTTGGCCGTCCTATGTTTCTCGTCTTCATCTTGGTTTATCTTCTCTGCGGGTGATTCTCCAAGATCAAAATCAGATCTCGACTTAGGTCTCGCTATTATTACGCTCTTTACCCAGGGTTGACCCCATATAATTAAGAAACGGCTGGTCTGTTGTGTCATTCTCTCTTCTCATTTGAACAATATCACGATAATACGCGGCTGCGAGGGACCGGTTGCCCAAGAATCCGATTCAGGATGAGGGCGCGATCTGATATTATATCCTTTGCGGTACTCGGGTTGTTATCATTCGCTCAGGTATGTCATGGGTCTGGAGTACGGTTGAAGAAAGGGCGAAGCTCATCAGTTACAGGCCAACTCGCATCACGATGGGCCGGCGAAACGGGACATATTAGGAGAGATTCTGGGGCAGTTGAATGGTGATTCA